GTTATGTGGGAAGAATAGAGGTATAGAATAGAGGCGGCACAGTGGCTCAGTGGCTAGCACTGCTGCCTCATAGCACCAGGGACCCGAGTTTGATTCCAGCCTCGGGCTACTGTCCGTGTGGAGTTTGCATGATCTCCCCGTGTCTGCGTGAGTTTCCTCTGGGTGTTCTGGTTTCCTCCCACAGTCCAAAGATGTGCAGGATAGATGGATTGGCTATGCTAAATTGCCCATAGTGCCCAGGGATGTTTAGGTTAGGTGGGTTAGACATGGGAAATGTAGGGGAATGGGTCTGGGTGCGATGCTCTTTGGAGGGGTGGTGTGGGCTTGTTGGACCGAATGGTCTGTTTCCACACTGTAGGGATTCTATGATAGACTATTTTCTAAATGGGGAAAGGCTTTGGAAATCTAAAGCACAAAGGGGCTTGGGAGTCCCAGTTGAGGATTCTCTAATGCTTAACATGCATGTTCAGAAGGCAGTTAGGAAGGCAATTGCAATGTTGGCACTCATTTCAAAAGGACTAGAATACAACGGCAGGGATGTACTGCTGAGGTTGTATAAGGCTCTGGTCAGACCGTATTTTGAATATAGTTTGGGAAGTTTTGGACTTTGTATCTAGGGAAGAACTGGCTGATCCTGGAAGAGGTCCAGAGCAGGTTTACAAGAATGATCCTGGGAATGAAGGGTTTGTCATATGAGGAAGAGTTAAGGAGGCTGGGTCTGTACATGAGGGAATTCAGAAGGATGAGGGGAGATCTAACTGAAACTTACAGAATACTGAGAGGCCTCGATACAGTGGATGTGGAGAAGATGTTTCCACTACAAAGAGAGACTAGGACCGGAGGGCACAGCCACAGAGTGAAGGGACGACCCTTTAGAACTGAGATGAGGAGGAATTTCTTCAGCCAAATGGTGGTGAACCTGTGGAACTCATTGCCACAGAAGGCTGTGGAATCCAAGTCATTGAGTGTCTTTAAGACAGAGATAGATAGGTTCTTGATTTGTCAGGGGATTAAGGGTTATGGGGAAAAGGCAGGAGAATGAGGTTGAGAAACATAGCCATGATCGAATGGTGATGCAGTCTCAATAGACCAAATGGCCTAATTCTGCTCCTATATTTATTGGTCTTATGGGTTTATTCTGAGCTGAAGACTTAACTGAAGGAATTGGGTGGGAACATATGGAGGGTCAGAACTGACGGACTCACCAGGGAGTACAAACCAGAAAGGAACATAAAGGTTTGATAGTCACTTAAATTAACAGACTGAGTCTGTGACTCGCTCCGCAAAGCATGACCTGTGTTGCCTTCCATCCTCATCTGAATCGTAACTGCAGAATGAAAATGAAAAATACATGTCATCTGACTTTTCAGTGCTTTTCCTCTCTGAGGACATGGGCTCTACTTGTTAGTGATGTGAGGCCTTCAAAGGAGCAGTTACATTAACTCAGTATATACAAATTAACAAAACATGTAATAATTGAATCCTTTATGTGAAATGCATGTGGTAACCAGCTGTATTGGATACAAATTCTGGCCACAATAAATCTTGACTATGTCATTAGTTACTGCAAATTGATCACAGTCATCTCTGTGAAGCATAATTAATCATAGCTAACACTTAAAAGTGTCACCTAAAGGCAACAATTCACAAAGATGATCCAAAGTCTCATGGGTTGCACAAAGGCACAGGGCTGATTACTTCTCATCTTGAGTTCAAGGATTTGCCAAAACACTGTTACATGTGATGCATCTCTTCTTGGGTATCATGGGGATGGGGAACAAGGTTTCAGCAATCCTACAGCACTGACAAATTACTACCATACTTCTGCAACATGGTTTATACTGTATACATCAGAATAAGGTTCACTGTGTCAAAGGTTCATGACAGGTATTCCATGACGTCTCTTGTCGGAGTCCTCCATGTCCCAATGTACAGATGAGTAGCTAAACCGCCCGAAACACCAGCCTTCCTGCTCCTCTGATGCTGCTTGGCCTGCTGTGTTCATCCAGCTCTACAACTTGTTATCTATGTGTGATGTGAATGCTGACTGCTCATATTACTGTTCTGTTTCTGATATTCCCCACATAGGTTCATTGGAATCGTGACCAATGTCTTCTGCCACAGCAGGGGTCATTGTTAGTGTGGCTGCAATGCAGTGAAGGTGCAGCAACCTCTAGCAGCTACTGAACGATCTCTTCATGAAGTAGTTGCAACTGAAGTTCCCCTCAGGATGCAAAGGTGGTACAGGAGGCCCAGAGTCTATCACTTTGAATGTAATTCAAGATGTGGAAGTGTTGGTGTCAGACTGGGGTGGTCAAGATCATAAGTCACATGACACCAGGTTATAGTCCAACGGGTTTATTTGAAATCATTGACGATTTCAAATAAATCTGTTGGACTTTAAACTGGTGTTGTGTGACTTCTGAAAATTTCTTCAAGTTGAGGGAGGCACATTGCCAGCGCAGATGAAGACTGTTCTAGCACACTGTCATCAGCTGGAGTGGTATTTGCAACCTAAAGGGGTGGACTGCAATCCTATGCTGCAGGTATTCAAGGTGACAGCTCCATTAAATATTTATGCAACTGGCTGCTTTCAAGGATTGACTGGGAACATGTGTGAGATCTCTCAATCCTCATCGCACAAATGTATCAAGGCTGTAACCAAGGCAACTGGTGTCAGATCACACCATTTAAGCTTATTTCTGCATGACATCAGTGATGCATCCTGGGTAGAAGGCGTTTGCGAACACAGCTGGCCTCCCCAGGATCAAGCTGCTGTAGACAGAACACACATTGCATTGAGAGCACCATCTCAAAACACAGTTGACTTCACCAACAATAAAGGATTCCATTTCATCAATGTCATCTGTGATACCGCATCTTAGAAGTCTGCTTCAGGTACACTAGGAACTGCCATGATGCCTTTATTCTTTAGAACTCGTATGTTCCTGTTCCATTTCAAGGGCTGGATGCCATATAAGAACAGTTCCTGGGAGACAAGGGCTATCTTTTTCAACCACGTCTGATGACTTCATTATGAATGAGGCCATGTGTAGATACAGTGCTGCCCATTCCTCCAGGGCCATTGTGCAGCAGGTGACATACCTGCACAGGTTTGATGGGTGAGTCAGTCTTGGGGATTGGGGAGAAGTAAAGGAAACTTGCAGTACAATTCTTAGAGTTTGTCACGTAATCATTGCATGGTGTGCTCTACACAACTGAAACAGGCAAAGTGCAGATGTGATGGAAGTTGAAGGGTTGGGAGGACAGCAGCAATCTTCCAAGGAAGAAGCTGAGTAAGTTTCTCAGGTGGAACATTACCTCCAGCATGATAGATTGTTGCACTTTCCAATGCAAAAAGCCAAACAGGACTTAATCGACACCCATTTTCAATAGATCTGAAATTGCGAGAGACACTAAGCTAGTCTGGCAGCATCTGTGGAGAGAAAACGGAGTTCAGCTCTGAACAAGAATCACTGGGCTCCAAATGTTGACCGTTTTCATTCCACAGACGCTGCCCTGCTGAGTGTTTCCTGCAGTTTCTATTCTTATTTCAAATTTCCAGCATCCACAGTTCTTTATTTTATTCATTCTGAGTTGGGTGCAGTGATCATTCACTGATTGCAACTTTGTGGTTGCTTGAAAGGGGAGTGATACTATTTATGCACAGAAGGAAATGCAGCTTTTCTTATTTGTTTTTCTTTGCTTTTCCTGTTCAATAGAAGCTAATGTTTTTAACATTTTGAATGATTTCCAACATGTGATGTTCCACACTTAACAATGAAAAGATGCCATGCTATGCTGGGCATTAGGGGGACAGTAACATTTCTTTTGGACAGAATGCAGTGGAAGGGTAGGTTGTGCACCTTCATCCTTGAAGCTGCAGTTAAATGACAGTTGATTAAACAGGTGATTATGTAAAGTAGCAATATGTTTATGAATGTGAGCTTCTATTTTCACGCATACCATGTTTGTGCACTCAGAGGTTTTTCCATTTCCTCCCATTACATGTACATTGGAGGATTGTTCGTTGCTGACACTGATTGACCTGATGTACAGATGGTGAGTATGTGGTGCTGTAAAGGCATATTGAATATATAGTGAGATGAGCCATGGAGAAACATGAGCTAATTTGCTAGAGCTCACAGGGAAAAGCCCTCTATGAAACTCATTGAAATTGATACTTCGACAACTTTAGTTAAGCTTCAGCACTTTGGTTTTTACGTGTAATCTGTTTAAAAAAAAAGTTGTTGCAATTTTGCTGTCAATTAAATAACGACACATTCAAAAGTAATCAAATCAAAATGTTATTGATTTGTTCAATAAATAGTAATACTTGAGCAACATGTATTATTTATCAGGAAGTTTTAACAAAAAAAAATCTGAGGTAGGTGACAGTCAACAGCGTAATCAGCAGGCTCACATGCAGTCTATAAATATATTAAATGCTTGATGTATCTGAATTATAGACCATAAATTAATAGAGGGGGCATTCAAATACTTTACATGCAGAATAATATATTTAGGCAATTTTAATTCAAGCTTGGGTCTTTTTATTCCTGTACCAACAGCAACAGTCATTTTGTATATCAACTACTTGTGCACAGTTTGAGATTAATGATTACAATCTCAATAGAGGGAATCCAGAACTTTTTAAAGTTCAAATCACAAGTAATATTTTTTGCTACAATACTCCCAAGAGCATCAAAGTTGAAAAATTTCTCGCATACTGACATATTGTGATAGTTTAATATGCACTTCCCTTTGCATGTGATGCTTGATTGTAGTTTTGTACCAATTAGTACTATATTAAAAGTCATACTACCTAATTTTATTTAATGTAGAATATTTATCAAAAATGATTTTATTTCCTGCAATCTGGGCAAGATATGGATCAGAATCCTTATCTGGTTCTGTTTTGCTGCAATAGCAGCACCCAATGCCTGGTAGTATCAATAGTGAAGCCATTACTGACTGACATGTGAGTGAATTTTACTTACCGATACGTACAAGTGCCTGTAATCATGTGAGACACATCTGGCAAAACTTGGTGGCCCCCAAAATGCAATTCCATGAGAACTTAATAAACATCTGCGGCTGGCTGAACCTACACATTATGAAACAAAAAAATGTGGAAGTTAATTTGATGATAAACTTTCCCCTCTACTGCACATTTGTTCTTCCAATCTTAATAGCAAGCACAGTTCATAGGATTTGTACCCAGTTCAAGCCACTAATTAAAATCTTGGGAGAGCCAGCTTTTCAATCATGATTGGAAATGAGAAATTGCAATCGATGCCTGAAGGTTCATTTTGCTAGATCCGTGCTGTTTTTCTGTTAACTTAGGACTGTGTTAAGCGGTTTAAACAAAAACATGTGAAACACTTGTTAAAATAGTGCATCATATTTAAATTAACCACAGGAATATTTTCAACCCATTTAGGATGAATTTGCTACAGGCATTCTTTATGTTCATTCAAATAATGCAGCTTTGTTTTAATTTGTGGCACGTGGGCATCACAAGCAAGACCAACATTTATTGTCAACCCCTAACTGCCCTTGAAAAGGGGTTAGTGAACTGTCTTTCTGAACAGTGGAGTTCACGTGGTGTAGGTACATCCGCTGTACAATTAGAAAGGCAGTCTTAGGTTTTTGACCCAGTGACACTGAAGGAATAGCGATACAGCTCCAAGTCAGAAGGGTGTCCGACTTGAGGGAGCTCTTTCAAGTGTTGATATTTCCATGCATCTGATATCCTTGTACTTCAAGATTGTAGAGATTACAGACTTGGGAGGTGCTATTGAAGGGACCTAGGTGAATTGTTGCAGTGCATCATATAGAGGTACACACTGCTGCCATTGCGTATTGGTGATGGAGGATGTGAATATTTAATATGGTGGATAGGATGCTAATCAAGCAGGCTACTTTGTTCTGGATGGAGGCTTTTAAGTGATGTTTGAGTATATTCATCCAGGCAAGTGGGGAGTACTCCATCACATTCATGACCTGTGCCCTGTAGATGGTGGTCAGGCTTTGTGGAATCAAATGAGTAATTCACCACAAAATGTTCAGCCTTTGATCTGTTTTTGTTGCCACAGTATTTATGTGTTGGTCCTGGTCAGTTTCTGGTCAATGGTAACATCTTGGATATTACAGTGGAGGATTCAGCAAAGGGAGGATTCACCATTCAATATCATGGGCCATGGCCAGATTATCTCTTAGAGATAGTCATTGCTTGGCATTTGTGTGGTGTGAATAATACTTCTCACTTACCAGCTAAAGCCTGAATGTTGCCTAAGTCTTGCTGTATATGGACACAGACTTCAGACTGTGAGGAATCACAAATAGTAGTGAAAGTGGTGCAGACAGCAATGAACATCCCCACTTCTGCGTTTATGATAGAGGGAAGGCTCGTGATGAAGCAACTGGAAAATAGTTGTGTCTAGGAAGCTACCCTAAGGATCTCTGGCAGCAATATCCTGTGACTGAGATGGTGGAACTCAAACAACAACATCCAGTTTCTTTTATGATAGGTATGGCACCGATCAGTGGAGAAATTTCCCCTCACTTCATTTTTGCCAAGGATCTTTGATGTTACATTTAAATGCTAGCTTGCTGTCAAGTGCAGTTACTCTCACCACTACTCTTGAATTCAGCTCTTTTGTCCATGTTGGGTTAAGCCTGTAGCAAGGTTAAGAGTTAAATGACAATGATAGAACTAAAACTGAAATTAGTGAGCACGTTATTTGCAGTGAGCAAATGTTACTTGATAGTTGATTTATGGAGCAGTGACTGGTTGATTTGTCCTGCTTTCTTAGAGTGGCAATAGTAATTTAGTTATTTGTTTTATTTTTAGTCAAAAGAGTAATACATATAACATATATTTCTATAGAAGGCAGTGGAAGCAGGGTGATTAACTATGTTTAAATTAGATATAATTAAATTAGATTCTCATTAGGCAAGAGAATCAAAGGTAGGGGGTAGATGGGAATGTCCCATTCAAAACACAAACAGATCAGCCATGTTCACATTGAACGGTGCATCAGGTCTAAGAGGCTGAATGGTCTACTTCTATTCCAATATTGTATTTTCGTACTTGAGCCATTGAGCCCAATCTTCTTCCAGTAAGATTACGGCTGATCTAATCGTGGCGATAACTTTTCTGTATGACCCACTAAATACCCAATACCCATGTCAATGAAAAAACATAACGTTTTCCGATATTACATTCCATTTGCAAACCATTTTCCAACTCAGTTAATCTATCTATATCCCTGTGTGTTGCGAATAGTTGTTGTTGGGACGTTTCCAGGGAAACAATTTTTTTGTTTCAACTTGCTTTGGGAAATAAGAATACCTCAAATCTCTATAAAATATTCTGTGAAGCCTAAATTTATTTAATGTTATTTGTTAATTAATTAGAAAGCTGAGTATAGTAGGTGTGGGAACATTAAAATGAACACACAAGAAAAATTCCTAAGATTTCGATGAACAAACCTAGATTATGATCCAATTCTGTAGATTGTTTACTTGACTGCAATTCCTGCTGCCTCAAAGAGAGTGCTACCATAGAGTAAAACTGACATAATAATCGTTGGGTTTTGTTTTGTATTAAATATTATACAATATAAAATGAGAACAATTCTCTCCAGTTTAGAAACATTGTCAACCATTGTTTCAAAGTCTAGAATGTCTAAATCTAATGCACATCATTAACATTCAATATTTCATTTCTCAAAGTAATCAGAGATCATATGGTCATTATGACATCACATTTCCCAGCATGTAAGGGACTCTTAGTCAATATTAGAATGATTGCTTTGTGGCACTCAGGAACAAACTGGCATTAGATCATCTATGGCATCAAGTTTTGAAGGCCAAATTAATGTTGCAAACAACTTTTTCTAATGGATTAATTAATATTTACCAAATCTTTTCAAATGATGTGACATAATGTGCAACATCAGTTCTAGTGTTCTTCAAATGATGATTAGGCACCAAAAAGGCAAAGGACCAAAAAAAGCCAAGAGACATGGCTGAGTTGTTAAATTAACACTTTGCATCTGTCCTTATCTAAAAAGCAGATGATGCCCAGATCATGGTGACAGAGATGAAACTCAGTCACTGGAAGAGTTAAAAATTGATAAGAAACAGGTATTAGATAAGCTGTCAATACTCAAAGTTAATAAGGCACTGGGGCTAGATGAAATGTCTCCAAAGATATTAAAGCAAATGGGAGTGAAAATTACAGAGGCACTGACAATTATCTTTTAATTTTCCCTGGATTTTGGGTGATGTCAGAGGGTTAAAGAATTGCAAATATTACACAAATGTTCAAAAAATGGTATAACAAACAGCCCAGCAATTACTGATGGAATCAGTTGAAATCTGGTGTAGGGTAAGCATCTAGAAACAAATATTTAGGATAGAATTAATCTTCACTTGGGAAAATGAATAACATTTGTTAACTGGTTAGTAAGTTTGCAGATGACACCAAAATTGGAGGTATAGTGGACAGCGAAGGAGGTTACTTCAGAGTACAATGGGATCTTGATCAGATGGGCCAATGGGCTGAGGTGTGGCAGATGGATTAATTTCGATAATTGTGAGGTGCTTTATTTTGGAAAGGCAAATCAGGGCAGGGCTTATACATTTAATGGCAAGGTCCTGAGGAGTGTTGCTGCACAAAGAGTCCTTGGAGTAAAGTGGAGTCACAGGTACATAGGATAGTGAAGAAGACATTTGGTATCCTTGCCTTTATTGGTCAGTGCATTGAGTATAGGAGTGGGGAGGTCATGTTGCAGCTGTACAGTACATTGGTTAGGCCACTTTTGGAGTACTGCATGTGATGCTGGTTTCCCTGCTATAGGAAGGATGTTGTGAAACTTGAAAGGGTTCAGAAAAGATTTACAAGGATCTTGCCAGGTTTGGAGGGACAGGCTGAATAGGCTGGGGTTATTTTTCCTGGAACGTCGGTGGCTGAGGTGTGACCTTATAGAGGTTTATAAAATCATGAGAGGCATGGAAAGTGTAAATAGACAAGGTCTTTTCCCCAGGATAGGGGAGTCCAAAACTAGAGGGCACAGGTTTAAGGTGAGAGGTGAAAGATTTAAAAGGAACCTAAGGGGCAACTTTTTCACGCAGAGGCTGGTGTGTGAATGGCATGAACTGCCAGAGCAAGTGGTATTGGCTGGTACAATTATAACATTTAAAAGGCATCTAAATGGGTATACAAATAGGAAGGGTTTAGAGGGATAAGGGGCAAATGCTGGCAAATGGGACTAGGTTAATTTAGGATGTAGTGTTGGATATGGTACTTAACAATTTGAGCAAACAATTTGTTTCTAATTACAAAACATCAGAAAGTTCAAAAACATCATAACTGTTTCTTCATTAAGCAATTGGAGGCATGTCAGAGCCCAGGAATTGAAGGTTTTGTTCACTGAACCCTTGGGAATAAGGACAAACTATGGATTAGTGTCTTTACTCTGAAAACAATTGGAGAATAAGAATCCATCAATGCCTTTACCATTAAATAATCAAGTCAAATTGGAGCCTTTACCAGGTAAATTATTGAAGAATGCATAAAACTAGAATATACAGCCCTGCAAAAGTTGATCCTGTGTAACAGTGGACCTCATGTCACTTGATCTAAGAAATGTAATTTTTTCATAAACTTTGTGTAAAAGTTGTCTGTTTTTCCTTTGGTAACCAACCAGTGTCCTGATCATAAATTACTTATGAGTCCACAGTTTTAAATGCATAGAATTCTTTACATTTTCCCTCTCCCTATTTTAGTAGCAATTTCCAAAGCAATCAACAGGATTAATGTGTATCACATACTTTTTCAAACTGCCTTCAAAGCAGAATAACAAGTACTCAGTTTAAAGTCATAGAGTCATACAGCACGGAAACAGACCCTTCGGTCCACTTCATGCATGCTGACCAAGTGTCCCAAACTGAACTAGCCCCATTTGCCTACATTTGGCTCATATCCCACTAAACCTTTCCTATTCATGTACCTGTCCAAACGTCTTTTAAATGTTGTAATTTTACTAGCCTCTATCACTTCCCCTGGCAGTTTGTTCTCTGTGTGAAGAAGTTGCC